GCAATGCAATTGTGATTCTGTAATAATGATAATATGTGAAAAATTTCTTTTATACAGAATGATTTTTTTTTAATAAGAAAAGGTTATTTCAAACTTTAACTTACCTATTGTCAGTAATTAAAAAGAAGAATAGACATACTTTCCTTCCAATCAAAATAAAAACCTAACTTCGTATGTTCTTAGTTAGGCTATTAGATTTATGATATTAATTATAAAATAATAAATGTTATGGTTCCTATCATTGGCGTATTAAGACTTTTCAGGGCCCAGAGTCCTTTTTAACGTGCCACAGCATAAAAATGACTAAAACAGTAGAAAAAGAAAAAGGTCCGCTTAATAGTTTCGGAATCCCGAAATTTTAGGGCCCGAGCCCCCTCCTCTTTAATCTATCACTAGTTCCTATAGGAACCAGTGCTGGATTAAGGGGGAGGGCTACGGCCGTATATATACGATTCTAAAATTTTCCTTCAGCATCCTATAAGAATCCTGTTAATCCTGCAAGATCTGTTAAAATGTTCTTGTAGATCTTATATTATCTTATAGGAACTCCTTCAAATCCTACAAAATCATTCAAAAGATTCTTGTAGGTCCTGCAGGGACTTGTGCATCTCATCCTATAGGATTCTTGTAGGATTTGTAAGATCAGTCGTCTAGTGTTGCTCCTTTGAATGTTCGTTCTTTAACTTTTCCTGACTTGTAATTTTTTTTTTCATTTACTCCTATGAGAATTGAATCACCACATATTAAAACAGTACCAGATGGCCATTTATCACTATTTGTCTCTTTAGTAATCTCACTCAAATTATCTTTACTGGATTTTGTTTTACCGGTTTTTTCAAATAACTTGGGTTTATCTGAAATTACAATAGATTTACTTCTTTTGTTAACCATTTTTTGGTACTTTTAAAACTTTTTCTTATGTTTCAGCCTGATATGAAATTGACTAGTTAAGTCAGAGAATTTTTTTATAGGGTTTCTTGGCTCAGTTTCAAAAGTATTAGTGGGATTTATATAATCAGAGTTTAAGGTTTTTTTAGATAAAAAATATCTTGATTTTTGTTGGTTGCGAATATCCGTTAATTGATTGTTTAAACGATCTTTACATCAATACATTCATTAAGTATTTCATCTTTTTCAAAGCTCTTAACGATTTTTTTTTACGTCAACTTCCGATTGAAATTTATTGGTATTCAAATCATTAATCAATACATTAGAATTAATTATCAGAATACATTAGAATTAATTATGAGAAACGTGATTTAGAGTTTGCGATAATTGCTTTTTAAATTAGTTGTATAAACGTTGTAATATTTATCTATTCAGTAAAAAAAATAGAAATTAAAAAACTGTTTTAAAAACAATTGTTTTACAATTAAATAGTTTTAAACTTTAGAACCTGTTTTTTGTTAATTCTCTCCGACTTCGATTCCGTTTTTACTATTTGCGACACTATTTTGATTTTACTGTTTGCGACATTATTCCAATTTTAATTTTTGCAACACTAATCCGTTTTAACTAATTGCAAAATTATTTCGTTTTTACTATTTGCGACACTATTCTTTTTTACTACCGGTTTTTGCATTTATCTGGTGGATTTTTGCATGAATCTGGTGGTTTTTTTTATTTAACCTGGCGGTTTTTTGCATTTAATCTGGCGGTTTGTATAAAATGCATAACAATTTTATAATGCATTTTAAGAATTGCTTAAATGATTAGTGATAAAAAATATTCTACATATTCTAGTTAAAAATAAATTTAGATAGGTAACAAATAGTATAATCTAATAGCATTGAGTAATAATAATATTTATAATACTAATTCTAATAAAAAAAAAAATAATAACAACTATAATTACAATAATAACAATAATTATAGCAGTAATAATAATAATAATAATATAATAATAATAATAATAATAATAATAATAATAACATATATATATATATATATATATGTATATGTTATATATATATATATATATATATATATATATATATATATATATATATATATATATATATATATATATATATATATATATATAAATATTTATATATATATATATATATATATATATATATATATATATATATATATATATATTATATATATATATATATATATATATATATATATATATATATATATATATATATTACAACTTTATTCTCTATTAATGTCATCTCCATTAACACATTGTGTAAGAAAAGATTCGCAGTGTCTCACAAAGTTTGAAAGATTTTGTTCAGTAACGTGCTCACAACCGTTCCTCATTCGCTCTAACAATTCATTATTTCCAATCGGGCCTATTTGTCCTCTTGTAGTATTCTTAATTTTCGCGAATGTTTTTTCACAAGGATTTAAAAAAGGTGAGTATCGAGGTAAAAAATGAAGTTCATAGGGATAACTATCATAAAAGTCAGATAAAGAATGATGAAACCTAACGTTGTCCATCACCAAGGTAAACTCTTCTTCTTCTCCCAAAATACTTTCAAGTGCA